TTATCGCCCCAGCCTATTTCTGCATCATCTTATAGTTTCCAGTCTAACATGGGGGATCCCATGGCTAAACGGGAGCAGGACTTGATTCTTTGTTGTTTAGGCCAAATTATGCAGCTTAATTCCATATATACTCCCCGTGTAATAGCAGACAACATTGGAGCCCTTTTTATGCCTACGTGAGCAGAACGAGAGATTACAGTAAGGAAGGTATGTGTGTGTGTGTTTGTGCGTGCACACACGCATGCCCTTCTCTACCACTCTCCATCTTTACTTTTATGAGACAGGCTCTGCCACTGAACCTGGAGCTCACTGATTTAGCCAGACTGGTTGGCCAGTGAGCTCCCTGGATCCTCCTGCACCCACCTCCCTAGCGCTGGGTACAGGCACACACTGCACCCTGCTTTTTACCTGAGTGCTGAGGACCCAGACACTTCATCCACTGGTCATCTCCCCTGCAGCTTCTTTACACTTACTACATTCCTGTTTCTGCTCAGACTCTTCTTCGTTCCTTTGGAATTTTTTATGAACGGGTTAGACTGACAGGAAAAGAACACAATGGTGGCCTCCACGCTGGTCATGCCAGCCATATGTTAGATTTGCCTGACTCGGGGTTCCCAGGATGTAGACCCTCCAGCTCCCAGTGGAGCCAGCCTGTTCCTCAGAACAAAACTCCTGCCTCCCCATACTGATTTCCGATTTCCACATCTAGGAAGGTCACTCTGGACTTCAGCAACAGGCTGAAAGGATTCTTGTAAGCTCAGTGTTGGGCTCACTTTGGGTAGCAATGTCCTTAGCTAGTAACTCCTTGGGGATTGTTTAACTGTGAACTATAGCTTTCATAGAGGCAGTAAGCTGGAGATGAAGCTGGTGTGGGCTGTGATCAGCACAACAAAACGAGGCTCACTGGGAGGTGGAGGGGCTCTATTACTCTATTGAAGGCACTTGGGGCTTCAATGCTTGATCTACGAATCTAAACAAAAGTTCCACTGGGAAGGTAGCATTCTAAATCAAGACTGAGTTGAAAATAAATTAGAAGCCATTGTCATGGGTTGCTCTTCAGGCAGTTCTTACCAGTCATCAGCTTTCATCTGGATCCAGTGGACCGGTGGATTACACATCCACCTTACCTTACAGCTCCTGTAGAACTGAACTGCTCCAGTGGATACCTGGGCCTACAGTGTCCCAGTTTGTTTTCCTGTTGCCGTGAAAAACACGGACCCAAAGCAGGGTCCTCTGAGGCTTACTTCAGCTTACACTTTTGAGTTATAGTCCATCACTGAGGGAAACCAAGGCAGGCCCTCAAGGGTGAAACATGTATGTAGAAACAGAGGCAGAGACCAAGGAGTGTCCGGGCTCACCATTCAGTTACATACGAGGCCCAGATCCACCTGTAACACCCACAGTGGGCTGGGCCATCCCACAATCAAGAAAATGCCCCCCAACAGACATACCCACAGGCCAGTCTAATGGAGGTAATTCCTCAATTGAGGCTCCTGCTTTCCACATTCATCACCTGGACAACAGAGCTTAGCTCTCACAAGCAGTGTTCAGAATTCTGTCTGCCTGCACTGAGCAACTGGTCTACACGCACGGACCAGAGACCCTGAATCATGTTTTCAAAAGGCCAGTGCTTTGCTGAAAAGTGAAATCTGAATGTATGTCATAGAATGAATCAATCCCTGTGTTTTCATTCTGGGCCATTTGTCTCACCGACAAATGCATTTTATCTTTCGTGGGGCACCATGGCCACACAAATGGTGGTAGCCACGGAAGTGGCACTAGTGACTCTTATTTCTTGTGTGTGTGTGCAGATGCACGGTGACAAGTGCAGGGATTTGTGGAGGCCAGGAATAAGTCTCAGCTGTCACTTTTCAGCCACTGTCCACTTTGTTTTTTTGAGACAGGACTGTTCATTGGCCTCGTACTTGCCAAGTAGGCTAGGGATGATCGGCCAGCAGTTTCCAGGGACCTGCCAGTCTTCGCCTCCCCAGTGCTGGGATTCCAAGTGTGCACCAGCGCGTCCAGCTTTTTAATTTTTTTTTTTTATATGTAGGAGTGTTTCGCCCACATGTATGTCTGTGCACCGCTTGTGTGTGTGGTACCCACAGAGGCCAAAAGATGGCACTGGATCTCATGGAGCTAGAGTTATAGATGGTTGTGAGCTGTCATGTGGGTGCTGAGAATCGAACAGGAGTCCCCTGGAAGGACAGAGTGACATCTATCTACTCCCTCCCTCCTCTTTGATGGCCCTTAAGCACTGCACTGACAATCTCCTCATCTCAGGACTTCTATTCAAGAAGAGTCATTTTAACATTTCCATAAGGGCTCAAAACAGGTGCAGGGCTGAGGAACGGACAAGGGACGGAGAGGGTGGCACTGTATACTCATTACACCATTGTGCCCTTAGTCCTGAGGAAATTCACAGCACAGAACGAGGTGAAACCACTTCCTTAAAGGATGAAGACATGTAATGGTCACATTAACCAAGCCTCACTGTGATGTGAGGAGCAGGAGCAGCCAGGTCCTCTGCTGAGCGGAAGTGAACTGGGCAAGTGGCCTTGAGGAGGCAGTGCCCAGTCTCAGCGTCTGTGTACAGGGGATCAGCCTTGGCAGGCTCCGATAAGGCCCTGACTCGACTCTTTGTTCTCTCAGGCTTGGCGGCAGATGGAAGCGAACTCTCATAAGCAGCAAGAACTAGCCTTATCCTTTGGGTCAGTGCCCATCTGTCAGACACTTGACAAAGTTGTGTTCATACTAGGAAATGCTCAATATAGCCCTGTTCATTGTATGACACACGAGATTCATGTCATCTGTTGGAGGACCGTAGCTCTGAAAACCCTCAGTGTCAGAAGCATACGTGACAGAAGGGGACCCTTCTTGTGTCGCTTGGCATCTCACATCACTTTCCAAACCCATCTATAATTCTGGAAAGGGCAGCTCCCCAAATCTACTAGGTTTTTTGTTGTTGTTGTTTGTTTTGGTTGGAGAATTCTTATCTTTTTTCCTCTATGTACATCTGATTGTGGAAAAGTACATCTATATATAGTGTTGACAAGCTAAAACAACTCTTAACACACTCAAATATTTGCTCAAGTAAAAAATATTTTCATGGAGAAAAGCAGAACAAAACCAGGCTCCCTGAAGACACACACCAGCATTTACAACAGGCAATTTTTTTTCCCTTACAGTCTCCAGGAGCAGTCAGTATAGGGGCCTTGTTCTATTCACTACCAGCTTTAAGTTCACAACGGACCTACAATGTACTTTTTTTCTCCCCCCAAAGAATCCAGAACTCTCACGTGAGTTTGTCTCAAAGATGCTTATATCCTCACCCATACCTTTCCTCTTTGGAGTTCACAGTTAACTCCAAACTACTACAGCCTTCTGCCGGCAGCCTCAGCAATGGGGTTCACAGTCTGTCTTAAATCCTCTCTACACGTCACGTGTCCCTATCAGCTTCCAGTCTGGCTCTATGTCAGAGTCCTAATCTCTTTACCCTGACTTCACAGGGTGGCCTGCCCAGAGGCTATCACACTAGGTCAGACCCAAGGCATGTGCCATGGAGAGACATGGCTGTTCTTTTTATGTTAATCTGTAAGATGTGGAAATTATTGAGTTGGCCTGATGCTTCAGAGAATTGATCTCAGGGACCCTGGAGAGGTCTGGTGTTAAGCCACACCCTTGTGATTTTACCTGCTGCTAACTGGTAGGCCATACCCACATTGTCTAGGGCTCCTCTCCTACATACATCTGTTGCTTCAACTTCCCCCAATTTTCTGTTGCTGTGACATTTGCAACGGCGTAAGAAGCCAAATTGAACTTTGGTGTCTCCAGGCCAAAGTCTGAGGTCTTGGCCATCCCTTGTGAGCTGTGGAGCTATGCATACCTGACTTGCTCTTTCACTATTTGTAAGGTGAACATAGACTATATATAGCACATAAAAAAATGCTATGCAAGGACAGTAACAGTTACCCTTATCCAGGGCAAAGTGAGGGTTCTCTTAGCTTCACAAAGGTGGCCTTAAATACCCTGGTGGTGGTCTTCTGGACGTGACAGACAAGGACAGCAGCAGTGGTATAGAACACACTTAGGTGTCTAGCCTGGGTTCCAGTCAGGTCCCCACAGCAGCACCTTGTGCTCACTTCATCTGTGTGGAATACCTCAGGGCTTTGCAGCAGCTCCTGATGGGAAGCCAGATCCAAAGGGAGAGTGCTGTGTTTGGGGGAGGACTTCCATGCCTACAGCAGAGCAGGAGCTGGGGGTGGTGGAACAGGGGAAGGCTGAGACTCACAGAACTGATTTCCTAGGGTAAGGGAACAGCTTTCTATATAGATGGGATGGCCAGATCTCCAGGCTCCTGTTTAGGTTATTTGCCATACAACCAGCACAGCTAATGCTTGTGAGCCAAAATGTTATTTGAGCATGCAATTGAGTTTTTGCTTTATACTCCACGATGTTTGCTTTTGGTGAGAACTGCCTCCAGCCCCTTTAAATCTTGCTGTCGTTCAATCAAAGCTAATGGATTCTGTTTATAATTTGTTTCTGTTTGTTGGTGTCTTCAAGAGCTAAGAAAAATTATTTTCAGTTTCTAACGCTGAGGAAATGAAGGTGTATTGAAGTGGAGAACTCACACGAATTTGAAAACAGAAAATCACAAAGCCCCACCAAAACCAAGCAGAGCCACAGATTTGGTGCTTCAACCCACCACTGGCTGCACTGAACTGTGGACCCCTCACTGTTTAAGACTTAGCTACAGTCTGAGGGGAAAATCCAGAGCTGTAATTTCACTGTAAAAGATCTCCTAGTCCACGGAGCTGTGCCAGTAACATAGAAAAGGACTTTTGGAAAGGACTTTTCCTGACCTCTGCCATGTTAACACGTAAGTCATTGCTGAGAGGGTAACCAGGGAATCTAGATGGAACATCACTGCAAGCAACCAGGCAGATCAATCACAGTCTAAAATTCAAAGTTAAAAAAAAAAAAAAGACAGGACCACCAGATTTAGAAAATGTCCTACAATGTGCATTTTATTCCATATCATTATACAATGTTTACATATAGTTATAACTCTTAAGAAAATGCCATTTCTTTACCAATTATGTATGTAGTGCCTAGATCTTTTACCCTGACATGGAAAGCTGAAAAGAGGGGCAATCCTCATTGAATGCTCTCCCTGCTGAGCTGGAAGGGCCTGCAAGTGTGTCCAGCTGGGAAGGAATGGGACTCTTAAAAGACCAGTGTGCCTTTCAGACCCTTGGCTTTAATGAACACAGGCCTAAGAAACCCACAGTCTTATCTTGCAGTCAAACTCAAAACAAAATAAATTAGTGTTGGACAGAAATCTAAATTGCGTAATATTGAACAAAAGACCCGCAGGGGTCCTTTTGTTTAAAGTAGCACCGATCCACACCTGATCGTCTCCAACATCAATCTTCTCAGTGGCTCCACCTTGGCATTCTGGCTAGAAAGCTTTCTACTCTTGTGAGGCTTCCTACCTGGCTAAGCAAACCGCATGCTGAAACGCTATGAAGTGTGGCAATGTCAACCTGGGAAATGGCACGTTTAAATGATCAGAGACCCAACGTGGGTTTGCCCTTCTGTGTGTCTTTCCCCACCCCCTGCCCTAGCTGGTTCTCTGCAGATGTTTCAGTGACAGTGGTTAAAAGTATATAAAAATGCATCGAAGGAGTTTCCTGGTAAGCAGGTGTTTAAAAACAAACTAAAACAATGATAGGGAAATGAAAGAATGTGGCCGCGGAGGCCAAGGAGGTTTTCACATGTTGTTTAGCTCCAGTAAGGTCTGGTCCAGCATCTGGTGCATACTAAGGTTTTCTTCTTTGGCATGGGCCACTTTCTCTGTGATGGGATTAGAAAATTAAGTCATGAATAGCTGCATGTCAGACTCGGCAGTGGTTTGTACATTTAGGAAGCAAACATCAATCACACACAGAAGAGAAGCAGCCCTCCCCATGCTTAAGACGTCACTCATCTCCAGACAAGGCCCTGGGTGCACCTCCACCATCGACCCACCCTGACTTCAAGTGCAGGGTGTGTTTGGTGAAGGCTCACCCACTGCGTGCTGTGGGAACAAGGGAGGGGTAAAAACCAAATACAGGTACAGCATTGTTACACAAACTCAAGTTAATACCAGCACAGGATTCTGAGTTACAGGCAGTTAAAGATCTGGTAGCTGTACGACCTCACAGAAACAAAGATGACATAAAATAGGTTTCTGACCGCTTTTTAAATGGTTTATTTCTACTGCTCACAAACGGTTATTAACACATCTCATGCACACTTCATTAGGACATTCCCTTAGTATTTTTATAGTATCCTACATATTAGCATATCACCCATCAGATTCAAACACCGTTAATCTGAACAAAGCCTACCTTTCGACCAGGGGCTTCTGATAGGAACTCCTGTTTCCAAAAGCTATTTTGCCCAAGCATAGGTACACTGAATCGCATTTCAAACACTAGACATGTCATGAAGATGTTAGGAATACAACTTTGTAATAGATATTTAAAGCAGGACTCACAGACACGTCATGAAGATGTTAGGAATACAAATTTGTAATAGATATTTAAAGCAGGACTCACAGATATGTTATGAAGATGTTAGGAATATAAATTTGTAATCGATATTTAAAGCAGGACTCAGCTATTTAGAGGAAATAGAAAAAAAGGGGTGTTTTTTTTTTTTTTTTTTTTTTTTTGGTGGGGGTAGGGGAAGGGTCCTCATTATCAGTCAGTTCAAAGTGGACCTGTTGATGCAGGAAGGGCTGAACTGGTATAAATATTTTCACATATACATAATATATCATAAAAACTTTTGGGGTTAATGAGAATCTAACTGAGACATACAGAGGAAAATGAGGCAAGGCGGGCCTTCCAACCAATGCCTTCCTTCCCTTCCCATTTCTGCAGGGAGTGACGTTTTCAACCCCATGAGTCATCGATTTCCTGAACATGGGCTCCATTCCTAGAACTCGGCCCAAGTTTTTAATCCTCATTCAGGGCCAGCTTTAGTTCGTTAGTTAGGCGGCGGTTTTGCTCGAGTTGATGGTAGAGTTGATCTGGACAGGTCAGCAAGGGTTAGCAGAAAAGAGGAGACAGAAAGAAGAGGTTAGGTAGAGTTTGCGAGAGGCGGTTAACACACTGGAAAACACAGATACGAAGGACAGCAACGGTGTGCCCTGGCCCCACGGCCCTGTGCCCTGTGCCCTGCGAGGGTGCATGGCAAAGCCTGTCGGAATGGAGAAACCCGGGATCTTGATGGAGATGTAGAGCAGAGGTAAAGAGGTGCAGGATGCGAGAAGGAACCAGCATTCCTTCTGCACCTCATTAAAACCACCCTGTGAACTGAGCTATATGCAGTTTGGGACAACAGATTTGGGGACAGAGGCCAGGCTCTGCCAACTCATGCCTTGCTAGAATTCAACAGAGATTCTGCTCAGGGTACAGAGTGGTGCTGAGCTGGTACTACCATTTCTGCCCCGTGGACAGGTTTTGAAAAGCTTCCCCTTCTCTCCCTAGACACCGGGGCACACACAAAGTCTGAACTCTCCTCCGACTTTGATAGTGTACTACCCACAGCAAACAAGTATTTATCGCCACTCCACACTGATTCAGAACTTATCTGTGTGCTTCAAGAGGATGATGACATTCATGCTGGGTGCTGACGGCATGCATAAACTAAATAAAACTGGGCCAGGAGGATGACTCAGCGGGTAAGGTACTAGCCCCAGAGCCTGATGACAAAGTTTGATCCCCAGGTTCTACACAGTGGAAGGGAAAAAACCGACTCCTAAGAGCTGTCCTCTGACTTTCAGATATACATTGTGGTATATGACTCCCCCACTCTCACGCCCCCCAAAAAACCCTCTCAAACATCTACACTTGCCCAGTGTGGTATAAGCTTTATGTGGTGCCATGTAATCCAGTCAGGTGGTAAAGCAGTCCAGCACAGGACTCAGTCTGTGCCTGACGATCCAGGGGACATCCGCTGACAAAGAGGCTGGCCCACACTAGGAAAAGTGGGGTGCCTGCGACTGCTTTGGAGGATGGTGACTCTGTGGACCAGGGCATCCTACTCGATGATGTGGAGAGCCAACAATCCTACTGCCTAGTGATCGACCACAGCACTCACCGCTGGGAAACGGAGTGGGTCTGTCAACGTTCTCACATAAATGGCAGGAGGTGGGGGAGGTTGTTATGCTCCTTCTGTTTGTTGGGTAGTATGAAGAACTACATCCAACCCATGCCCTTTCCACTTATCTAAATTTTCTGAATATTCAACACTCCAGTCAGCTGTCACCTCCTCCAGGTGAGACTTTCTGTTCTCTGTTTGGCTCCAAACACACCATGTCTACCAGTGTAGACTCACCCCATTCCTCTCTTCCTACACAGCCAGCTTAGCAGAGCACACCCAGATCAGCTCTTCTGTTACCGTGCTACTTTCCAGTGTCTCCCATCTACTGAGAAGTTGCGAAACAGAAACCCCATGACTACATCCATCGTATCATCACGGGAAACTGCCACCATGAGTGGCAGGCAGACTGTCCCATTTGCTGAGCCCAAATGTTGGGCCATCTAGACTAGAACACTGGAGAAACCCTAGGGAATCCACGGCTTACAGGGCAGTGCTCCCCATCTCAACCCACTTTGGGCCTTGTTCCTTCTAGCTGCAAGGGAGCCGGGACTGAGATAAACTGAGGGCAGAGTCAGACACATTCTCCCTCCTGTTCTGCACAGACCCCAGTTGTCTTGAGGCCTCTGGTCTCAGAGCTGGTGGTGCTGTCTGTTTGGTTCAACCGGGGCTCTTAAAAGAGTTGCCGATACAGGCTGGCCCTCGCTCAACTAGAAGACTGCTGAGCAGATCCTTGATCAACTCAGCTTGCTGTCTGTGCTCCTGACGGACATACCTAAGCTACCTGGGTGTCCATTTGTTCCTATTTCCCTCACAGTGAACACTCATAGGTGTAGAAATCTCTGGGAGAGCCAAGAAATTTGGATCCCAAGATGCATTAATGTCAGCTCGGCAGAGCTCCAAGAGTCTTGTTTCCTCTGTGGCAGAAAGCTCAGAGAAAGGGCATCACTGTTACTCTGAATTTTAAAAAGAACAAGGTTCCGAAGTCATTGAGAAGTGGGCCCAAGGAGCCTCAGGGAAAGAAAAAAAAAAAAACAAACCCAAAAACCCAAAACACTAGAAAACTGCAGAAGCCTTGGCACCCTTCTATGGAGAAACACTGCCTAGATCCTAAAATTAGTCTACCATGCCATTAACTAAATTACTTTAATTCAGACCCATGTTCTGTTTTTTGTTTTTGTTTTTTTTAAATCCTTTCTGCTCTGAAGATTTCAGAGTAAATGACTTCCTTCAGAGTTTGCCCAGATTTATTTGAGGAGAGTGGTATGCTATCCCTATTAGGCTAACAAGTACCACACATGAGACAGACGAGGGCTATTCATACTTAAAACACAAGAACGGAGCCAGGCTTATGTTAAGAGCTAAGAAGCTAGAGGTCACATTGTTTTAAAGTCCGACTTCGGCTATAAAAGTTACCAAGCTAATGTTTGTGACTGAAATCAAGCATTGTTTCTTGGGGGTGTGTCTGTCATGAATCAACTGCATGGTTCATAAACAAGGGGAGAAACTCATCTCATATAAACACACCTTCTGCAGAATATACGCTGTGCTTCAGAACACAAAAATAAACCATGACTCAAATATAATTACTATTTAGAAATCCTATAATGTGGTTTTTGTGTTCAATGTGAAGGTATCTGCGTAATGAATATATTTAATGAAAAAAGTTTCAGCTCATCTCTGCAATAGGACAATAAATAATAACCATGACTTACAACGCTAGAATCCTAGTTCTTCACGAGATGCAAACCTCCTAGCTACAGAGTACAGGATGGCTACATGGACTTCCATTACGCAGCCAGGCAGCGCCATCTCCGTATCAGCACCGAGAGGATGCCACACCCCAAAGTAAACTTTTGGCAGAGAAAACGCTGCTCAGGCCAGAATTTGGTTCCCACTATCTACTATGTGGAGGAGGTTCTGAACCCCAACTGTCAGAACCATCACAATTCCTAAAACCATAGATACCTGGGCCTCACGCCAGTACCTGAAAACCAGGTATTCTTTTTAAAAGTTGCACAAGGAACTACCACTTTAAAAACTCCTGATGTCAGTATATAGTGTTCAGAAAAAAAAAAAATGTTCCCTTAGATCCATGAAGCAGAACCGTTGTTTTATTCAGTGTTGAGATGAAACGCCAATAAATAAGGAGTAAAAGAAGAGCGAACAGGAATAGCTTACAGTGTTTATTTTACACTGGGTGAATAGCTCCTGTACAATAGAAAGCACACTATGTGCCTGGCCCTAAGGTGGGCGCTAATGGAAACCCGGGTCAGCTGGAGAACAGACAGACGCAGAGCTCAGAGAGGTGGGACATCCAGCTTGATGAAGGACTCTTGGGAGGAGTGAAGCAAAGAAACTTATCTGTGTGAAAGAAAAGGTAAGAGAAAGAGGAAAAGTGGAGCAATGGAAAAGGAAGAGGAAAACCACACGGATGACAGGAGCAGTTGAAATGCAAGCAAGTATCAGGCATGTAAAACCCACTGCCAGCTGCCCCTGGGGGAGGTCATCCTTGGCAACCACTGTCTGAACCCAAGGCGGTCATGGGCCAACCTCAAGGAAGATCTTCAAAACTTTACTTTAAAAACAGAACTTACACTAAACTTGGCTTTGGGGACATTTCATCACACTCAAGAGTTCACCCCCCGGGGGGCGGGGCATCACATTTTAGCACTGGTGGATTGGTGGCTACAGATGACCTGATTCCACTCTTCATTTACTAATGGTGGAGAAGAGGCATGCCCATGTTTCCATGGTGACAGTCAGGTCTCTAAAGGATATTCTGGAACCTCCAAGGCAGCAGGCACAGGTCATGCTCCTGAAGCTACTATATTTCTGAATGGTTAAAGAAAGGCCACTCCCAGCTTTGATGGAACACAGCGGTATTAGAATGAAGAGCCCACTGTGAAACACTACAGGGGTTAGAATTGCAAGGGGCACAAGTGTGGTTAGTAATATGTAAATTAGCTGTGTATGTCTGAGGGTCCTCAAACAAGGCCGACTATTACTCACATGAGTAAAATATGGACCATTAACTTCCAAACTCATGTTGTATAAATGTTTTATTTCTTGCTTCTCTGATGTCAGTTGTGGCAAGCATTTACTGTGGGGTATTTTAATTCCATTCAATATAATAAACACAACAAATAAAAGACTTGGTTCCTCGGTAGACCATTCATGTTTGCTCTGGAATTCTCTTTTTCTCTCTCTCTCTTTTTAAAAGACAGGGTCTCACTATACAGGCCTGGTTGGCCTGGAACTTGCTATAGACCAGGCTGGGCTCAAACTCAGAGATATACCTGCCTCTTCCTCCCACATACTGAGATAAAAGCCATGCACCACCATGCCTGGCCGTGCTCCGGAATTCACTACAGGAAGGGATATGTACCGGGTCATGACCATTTCCTTTTCCTCAGGTTTTCAATTCTCTGATACTTTAAACTTAACAGTGTGAATTGAAAATGACCATATTGTCCTTCCCCGAATCTCAGGAAACAACCTGGTGTTTCTTCCTAACTTCCTGTACCACTGCATCACAGCATTCTCGTTATATTTGAGTCTGGTTTAAGGTTTTAGAAGGATAGTACTCAGGGCCATTCAGAGTCTAGTTCATCTCTTGGCAGAAAGAGGCCAGATTTGCATTTATGAAATAAAAGGATTCTGAAATGGTTTGCATGGACTGAATCCACTTGGCTTTTGTTAGTACAATGTGAAAAAGACCATGGCTATCCTAGGCTATGCAACCAAAGATGCCAAAATGGAGAGCACAGATTGAGAAGGGAGCCGTGGTGAGTTCATCACACAAGCGTGAGAGTGAGGGTGCAAGCAGGCAGGGTGCATGAACATTTACATGGAAGTCATATCGTTGAGAGCGTGGTCCAGCTCCTCGCTGATGGCTTTGTACTTCAGTTTCTGAGCATACAGCTCATCTAGGAGCAGGAAGTGGAAGGCAGAGGTGCAAGGGCATGGAGAATGGTCAAGAGATGGAGGGTGAGCAAGGGTGGCGAGGACGCCATCCCGACACGCCAGCAAGGAAAGGCAATGCATGGAGGGGTTGGTGCCGCAGCAGATGGCCAATGCAGGAGGCGTGCGATTGGTTTTTAAAGAAATTGAAACAAAAACAAAGAGAACAAAAACCCATTAGAAAATGAAATGAGAAAGACCCAATATGAAAAACACAACACCGAGGGTAGGTAACACCAATGAACCCGTTAAATCCTAAAGACACCCACAGAAGACTGTTTCCCCTGGTGGGTAATGGAACATCTGTCTTTTCACAGAGCTGTCTATTTACACTGGCGTAGTCAGCCACCTGCAGCTATAAGCTATGGGAGGGGGGTACACAGGCGGGGGGGGGGGGGGGGGGGCGGAGCTATCCAAAGGCTTCAAGTTCAATTTCCAATGACAGTCTGCAATGCTACCTTCAAACCGCTCACTCACTTCCCGCCCAAGCCAGACCATGGGATATTGATTTTTTGGTGACACTTAAATTATTCCCATGGTTCGTTCTCTCTCTCTCTCTCTCTCTCTCTCTCTCTCTCTCTCTCTCTCTCTCACTGCCTGTTGCTAGTAACAGAAGTCTGAAAAGCAAAGGCAGCCACAGTTAGGGGGGCTTGTCTGTGGTTTAATTTTGGCAATGGTGGTGGGTCTGAGCCTTGCCATATTCCTAGCAGGCTTGCACCCACACTCAATTCTCTCTTCCTCTGCTATCTTTCTTTTTGTTGTTGTTATTTGTTTGCTTGTTTACTTTTCTATTTCTTTTCCAGCAGGGTCTCATTAGCTGGCTTGGGATTCGCTATATAGCCCAGGCTGGTCTCAAACTCACCTGCCTTTGCCTCCTGAGCATTGGGATCAAAGGTGAGTATTACCAGGCCTGGCTGCTATCTTGATAATTAACTGCACCACCACCCTCCAGTCCCTCCTTCAACCCCTTCTGCCTGTGATGTATGGTATTTTTTTGTTTTTGCTTTTAAAAGTGCTTAAGTATAACCTTGAGACTCGGTGCTCTATTGATCTCTGCCCTCTGTCCTTTCAGGATATAGAATATTTTGCCAATGAATGGCTTAAAAAAAAAAAAGAAAACAAAACCAAGCCCTTCTTCTGGGCATACTTGGAAGATGGGTGTGTCTAAAACAAATCCACATTGTTCTGACAATTAGGAAATACCACTAGAGACAAAGAATATACCAGAGACACATTCATCTATAATTACTTCACTCAGTGAAAAATAGCTCAGACCCACTTCTCAAGTCCAAGAAGCTGGATGTAAGCTGTCTGGTGGCTGGCTAGTCACCCCGAGAGTTTCAGTGTCACAGGTGAAAACCCCAGAGGAGAGCCAGACAGGAAGTGCGAGAGCAAAATGGAGCGCCAGGGTGGAAGCCCTCGGATCCGAGGACTGCTTATCAAGACGGTTGTTCAACAAGGACTGAATTTAAAATGTTAAAGACCTTACCTTCTAAGTCATCGATGCTTTTCTCCAATTTAGTGACTGATCTCTCTGCAAACTCAGCCCGGGTCTCAGCCTGTAATGATTTAATTCATTTGAGTCAAGGTCAGGGAGATTCAGACCAGTAGCTACAGATAGAGGGGAAACCAGACACAGACGGACCTCAAGTGTCTATCTCCTGGGAAATGTCAGGTTCAGTCCCTACTGTGAGCTATGGCAGCTAGCGAACACTGGACATGAACTCCAAGAAAACCTCCGAACATGCCTGCTTTGGACCATCCGTCTCCAAACGACGGTGCCTTGACCCACTCCACAGAACCTTAATCACAATCCAGTCAGTTTCCTCCAGGCTCTCAACATTACCTCCTTCAGCTTGTCAGAAAGAACCTTGATCTCCTCCTCATATTTGTCCTCCTTCTGCGAGTACTGTAATTAGAAAGAGCGTTCCAGATGTCAGGCTGCAGCTCTCACACTCACGCCTTCTCACACAAGGAGCGTGCCAGCCCAACCAACAGATGTTGGGGATCTCCTAGCAGGTAACAGAACCTCAGGTATCACATGGCACACTACAATACATTCTCTGCTCTCTTGCCTATTGCTTTACATGGGATAAGAGTGAGATAACTTATCCACTTGGCACTTTGTGTCAATTAAATTGATGATTTACCCAACATAAGACACATTCTCTGTTAATCTTCTTTAAAACAAAACAAAACAAACAAAAGCAAACAAACAAACAAATCCTACTATCTAATAACCATTAGGAAATCATCTCAAAAATATCGTCCCTTGCTAAAATGCCTCCTGTGCGGTTATTTTCACCAGCCGGGCTTCTTTGGAGCAGCTCGTACAAAGGTGTCTCCCCACTCCCTGCTGCTGGCCTACCTTCTCAGCCTGAGCCTCCAGTGACTTCAAGTTGTTCGTCACCGTTTTCAACTCTTCTTCAAGCTCGGCACATTTGCTAAGGTTTTCGATCAGAAGCAGAAAGGGTGGGAGACAAGCCCAAGGAGCGAGGAGAGAAAAAAAGGAGAGGGATGGGAAACAAATGAAAACCGAGTCCTAGAGATGGCGGGGGGGGGCTGCCTTAAGTAGCCAAAGCACGAGGCACGAAGCTCGGTTTTGCCATGGGCTCTGCCTTCCACTGCAACAGCGGAGGGACAGAGGGACAAAAGCCAGCATGTCCGTCCGAGTTGTGACCATTTGGCTTCTTATTGGCCGCCCCTCAGAGTATTTATGAGGGGAAAAACAAAGAGCATAAAGGACCAAGAGAAAGCACTTGAAGCAAGATATAAACAGCAGAGGGTGTAGTGAAGGTACAGTCATTACACCAAACCAACCAGTAGCCATTGGAAGCTCAAAGCTGCCTGGGATGCAGTTAAACCTAAAAACCACACGTGAGCCATCAGTACCTTATCCTCGGCAGCCATTAATGCTTTCAAGGTCTGATCCATTATTCTTAATTGTTCCTCCAGCTGTCGAACTTGGCTGTTAGTGGACACAGGAAATGCACAAGGCCATTCACAAAATCAGTGCAGGTAAGGCATGCAGTGCCACACGCATTCACAGACACCCCACATGGTTCCTCCGTGTTCCACGCTCGTGGCTCATCCACAGGACTTTGAGCACACGAGGAACCCGGAACCGAGGTGGATAAATGTGCAGCTGCCAGAAGGTCATGCTGTTTTTAGTCACTGCTCTGCAGCATCCCCACATGGGGTGGCCATGAGCCCGCTTACCCTTCCGAGAGCTCAGCCCGCTCCTCTGCACGTTCCAGGTCACTTTCAATGATGACCAGCTTACGGGCCACCTACAGCAGGGCAAACAGCACATACACACACACTGTGGTCTTATGTACTTTGTGGAGGGGGTGGTTATAGGGTAGATTACATCCACTGACCCTAGGGATTCTTCTCTACAAATGGAATGCTCATCTTTCTGCAGACTAGAGACAAAGAACTCTCACTCAGCAGAGGCTGAGGCCCCCGCTCAGAGACCAGAATGGTTAGCTCTCCCCAGGTGGAGTCTAGATAATTACATGGCACCCAGAGCAATTCTCGGAATGAGAGAAATATGAAATCTGCAATCTTAAAAATAGCAGGATGATGAGACATAAGGAGGCATTTTAGACTGCAAAGGAAGGGGCTGCCGAGAGAGCATCAAAAATAAACCCAAGGGCTCCACCGCACAGAGATCTGCGCAGAAGGCGAGAGCCAGTGAGGTGACGGCTGCAAGGTCAAATCTGCAGCCAGAAACGCCACCCCAGAGAAAGGGTTCCTCCGAGGCAGCTCAACACCATGGGGCAGCTTCAGCCATGATGAAATCCAGAAAGAAAAACTGGAACCTACAGTCACTCTGGCTGTCATCATCACATGTCATTTCATAGGGACAATCACCAGAGACGACTTCACTGCAGACAGAGCCTGTGCTAACAAACGATTTTTACTACCTCGGAGAAGCCTCTATGAATCTCCCAAGCAGCTCTGTCTGTGGTCTGTGTTCTCTACAATGTCTGAACTGAAACATCTGAACCATGACAACAGGCCAGCTTCTTTCCTAAGGACCCAGCTCTCCCCTTCTTCTTCTTCTTTTTTTCCTCCCCGGAGCTGAGGACCGAACCCAGGGCCTTGCACTTGCTAGGCAAGCACTCTACCACTGAGCTAAATTCCCAACCCCCCAGCTCTCCCTTTTCCTGGCTAAAGATGTTTTTGTCCCAGCTTTCAGGGTGTGGGGAAGTGCTGATCTCCCCTCCTGGTGCAGATGACTGGCTGGCTTCATCACGGGAAGAACCAGTTTCTGCAGGTAAAGGAATCCTGCCTCTCAGAACCACCCACTTCTATCCGGGAAGCTGACTCTTACTCCCAGGGATCCAGACAGCATCCCGCTCCCCTGAGGTCACGGCTCTGAGTCTGTAAGGCTCTGGGCCCCAGAAACTGACCTCTTCATACTTGCGGTCAGCATCTTCAGCAATGTGCTTGGCCTCTTTCAGCTGGATCTCCTGAATTTCCATCTTCTCTTCATCCTTTTGGGCTCGGCTTTCAATGACTTTCATGCCTCTGGAAAGACAGACAAGCAGGAAGACCCACGATGGAGAGATGACTACTGCCACCGTGGAATATGAGGCTCTATGCACACGGCCAGCCAAAATTGAACAGAGAGCCGTTTATTTTCCCAAGCACGAAGCAAAACTTTCCAGGAAAGACACATATTTCTCTCTTCTCATTGTGAATGAGATCTTCGGGTGCACTTTGGGGTACTGGTGAAACTTCTAAGTCACCTATTCATAAATGGAAGGTGCTATGTCAGGATCCTAGTTGACTCTGGGCAGCATGGAAACAAGGGAAGCCACTAGGCTTTATTTGTTAAATGTAGATATTCTTCCCCTTCTCCCTTTTCCTGAGGGAAGTCTCAGACTAAAAATGGATGCATAGCCAGGTATGGTGGTGCACGCCTTTAATTCCTGCACTCAGGAGGCAGAGGCTGGTGGAACTCTGAGTTAGAGGCCACCCTTGTCTACACAGAGAGTTCCAGGACAGCCAGGGCTACGCAGAGAAACCCTGTCTAGGGGGTGGAAGAAAGAAAGAAAGAAAGAAAGAGAGAGAGAGAGAGAGAGAGAGAGAGAGAGAGAGAGAGAGAGAGAGAGAAAGAAAGAAAGAAAGAAAAGGAAGGAAGGAAGGAAGAAAGAAAATGGATGAATAGGTGTTGGGAGGTAAGACTGACACTGGATGTTATAACATGGTGGTATAGTTCAGAAAATGTTAACTGATCTAGATTTTACAGATTTATGGCATAAGCAAACCATAAATGGGTTTCACTTAGAAAAAAATTAAGCAAGTTTAAGTAAAGCATTGTTTTTTAAAAGGCATTGATTTTTATTTGATGTCTATGAGTGTTTATCTACATGTTTGTATATGCACTATGTATGTGCAGTACCCTCAGATGCCAGAAGAGGATGTAAAAATAAATGAGTTCTATATCCCTTTTCCTCCAGTCTTGTACTGCCAGATTGCCTTTAAAGTTCAGTACCAGGAAGAAGTTATGCACAAGACTACTCTTGGCTAACAAAGAAAAACTAAGTGGTGGTAAATAACAAGCTGAAAACTTTAGCTGACTAGCTTTCTTAGCCCTAAAGTCTGCAGGGACTCTTTATACCTGGTGCCAGACGGCAGGGGCTCACTTCAAAGTAGTGGTGGAGAAACAGACCTTCACCTGCCCACTTTCCAGCTGGGGTAAGGCATACCTGCCCTGTTCTGAGCTCACACTGCTATGCCATTCTTCAACCAATAGAATACTCTACTCTTATGAAGTATCTCCACACTTTGTGGCTTGTACAGCAAGAGTACAGATTTTAAAAGCCTTTCAGAATGCACGAGGTTAGCTCATATGGTGTGATGGTTAAAACAGATTGTTAACTTAACAGGATCTAGAATCATCTAGTAGACAAACCTCTGGGCACACCTGTGAGGGAGTTCTTAGATGGGGCTAGTGAGGGTTGGGAGACCCACAGGCAAGAGTCCCTGACTAAATAAAAAGGAGAAAGCTAGTCGAGCACAGCATTCATTGCTATCTGATTCCAGACTGTGGACCCAACGTGTGACCAACTGCCTCATGTTCCTGTCACCATAACTTCCCTACCAGGACGGGTGGTATCCCTTTGAACCACAAACCAAAACAAACTCTTCCTTTCTTAAGTTGCTTCTTGTCAGGTCTTCCATCACACTAACAAGAAAGAAATTCATAAAGCTGGCCTGTGTGAACCATGGTCCCCTTTACTATGACAAGGCTGGCTCTTTACATATAAGTCAGGTTACAGCAGGAGTAGGTGCAAAACATAATTGCGCCTGTGTCTGTGTGTACATATGTATTAAATCCAAAACATTTCACTTACGCAGAGCCTACAGATAATATCTGCTTTACCTATGCTTTCTCTCCTACCTGTTTGGCTACCACAGTTCCTTTCCCTAGGTCTGAGACTGTTTGGTATATATATTATTTTATTTGTTTTTTTGTTTGTTTGTTTGTTTTTGTTTTTGTTTTTCGAGACAGGGTTTCTCTGTGTAGCTTTGCGCCTTTCCTGGAACTCGCTTTGTAGACCAGGCTGGCCTCGAACTCACAGAGATCTGCCTGCCTCTGCCTCCCGAGTGCTGGGATTAAAGGCGTGCGCCACCACCGCCAAGCAATTTTATTTGTTTTTATGTATTTGGTATTTTGCTTGCAGGAATGTCTGTGCATCATATGCATGCCTGGTTGCCTGCAGAGGCCAGAAGAGGGCATCAGACACTCTAGGCAAGGGTTACAGAAAGTTGTTAACTGCCATGTGGGTGCTGGGACTGAGACCAGGGTCCTCAAAAGAGCAGCCAGTGCTCTTAAGTGCTAAGCCATCTCTCCTTCTGTGTGTGTGTGTGTGTGTGTGTGCGCACAAGCACAGTGCACACGCACACACAGGAGCTGGATGGTGTAGTCTCACCTCTCACTCTCGTCTGCGGCCTTCTCAGCCTCCTCCAGCTTCTGCAGGGCTGTGGCCAGACGCTCCTGAGCTCGATCCAACTCCTCCTCTACCAGCTGGATGCGTCTGTTCAGAGAAGCTACATCAGCTTCAGCCTAGGCAGAGAGGGAGACACTTCAGAGCTGGGAGGAAGTGAGGGTGGTACCTTCAGAAACTGGCCAGGACTAAAGTGCTGGCTCCAGACAGGAAGTCTGGGGCCTGATGTGAGCTATCTTCCAGGGAATTGCAAGCCCCGACCAGCTCAAGTCCTCCACACAGGAGCATCATGCTTGGAAGCACACAAATCTAGAAACAACTCTCAGCAGAGAGAGGGCCATCAGCAACTCGCAGGCTCGCGGGATTGCAGGGCTCTGTCCTGCTCCAGCGCCCAGTGCCTTGCCTTTCACCTGTTGGTTGAAGGAAAGCGTCCTCACAGCTGAGGGCAGGCTCAGCCACAGAGTCCCTAGCAGTTATGATCAGAAGTCGGGATGCCATGTTTCATCCAGCTATCCTTTCTCTGACAAGACTTCTCAAAGGAGCTTTATAATGAAACTGAATGTTTTAAAATCCAGTGGTTTTAAAAACACATACCAGGAAAATTAAAAAAACAAAACCCCAAAACCAAAACAACAAAAACCATACCAATGGAGATCTAATGACATCTAGAAACTTCCCCTCTGCCCCACCTTTTCAGTAACCTCTTAGGAAGAACTGGTCTCACTGGAACAGGGCCAAGATAAATTTCCCAAGGGTTTTTTTTTTTTACCTAAGCTTACTGGAATTTCTTAAAAGTCAAGGTTGCTACAAGAAAAGTTTCACAGGCCTAAGGAGAAAAGCAACGTAGATACTGTTTTTATTTGGAACTTAGCTTTGAATTAAAGATTTTCTTTCTTGGGCGGGCAATGACTGCTTCCTGTCGTAAGAACTTTTGCTCTGAGCCTGGGAATACTTGCCTCACTGTGATAGGAGCTGATCCTAGACTATTTACCCGATAGAGAAGGTGGAACTTGCTAACTAGGTAGCAATTATTAATCCTCATCCATTTTGAACCTGTGTTCATCAAAGGCTGATGAGTCCTTAGGATATTCAGGAGCCAGTTTTCTAACAATCACAATACACACTTGAGAGCCCAGGCTCCTAGCTTTCCACGTATTGGTCTTTAAGTCCAAGGCATCTGCTCTCCACAGACCCGGGCTCCATGTCTACTGAACTGAGTAAGTAAAAGCACCCTAATTTAAACAACGGCAGCTTTCAAAGCTCATGAGGAAACTGGAAAAGTATGTGTAGTTAGAGAGAGGCGGGGATCATGGCCTTGCCTTGAGTCACAGGAAATGAGACCATTTAATTCCGTGCAGGTTTTATCTGGAGAATGGCAGTGAACAGTGCATCTCCCACCACCATGAATGACTGCTGACTTTTTTTTTTTTTTAAATATATAAACACTTTAGACTCACTTATCTCAAAGAAAAAAAAAAAAACTACTATGTAGTAACCGGCTGCCAGAGGCAGGAAGCAGGGCCAGCCAGTGTGAAATGAATGGGGGGAACAGTTACAACTGAACCATCCCACAAGGTCAATCCTTATCAAAGAAGAGGCTGGAACTGAGCCAAGCTGGGAATGTCCTGAATGACCGAGTTTTTCCTTGAAGAGTAAGGGGATTGGAATAACCCATTTCTTAACGACAGAGAACTGCCTTTGAAAGACTGTTCCTTTATTTTTTTATTTTAATTTTTTATTTTATGTGTTATTAGTGTTTTGCCTACATGTGTGCATATGTACCACATGTGAGCTTGCAGTGCCCATGGAGGTCAGTTCCAGGTGCCCTGGAATTGAAGTCAGGCATTATAGATGGTTGTGAGCTGCCATGTGGGTACTGGGATCAGAACCCAGGTTCTCCACAAGAGCAGCAAATGCTTTCAATCTCCGAGCCATCTCCCTCAGCCTCTATAATTGGAAATATATACATATTGAGGCTATAGTTTTGGGTCAGGTTAAATTTCTTCATCTTGCAAGTATTACATTTCTAGGAAAAATTCTATTCCTTTTACAAAGAGGAAGGTGGGCGTGGAGACAGAAAACAAAAACAGAAACAGAAAATCGACTGGGATTAGTGGTTTCGGGCAGCTCCCCCTCTTCTTTCTTTTCTGACACCAGAGTGGAAGTTTCTGGGCTACCTCCTAGTACCCAGTGCCCCAAGTAAGTCTAACATATATGGACAGATCCTGACCAGCATTAGTTACTACAAGAAAATCAGCCATTAGACAAGTCATGTAAATCATTTTTTAAAAGGCCAAGAAATGCTGGTATGGATTGCTCTAGAATGCCTAGGTCATGTTCAAAAGTACCCTTCTTATTATAATGCTATATAATGAAATCATTATTATTTAATATAAGAACAAATACCCTCGCTATACCAGCTGTTGGTGAGTCAGAGAAGTGTGGGCAGGATTTTAAAAACACTTCTGCAGCATCCAATTCTAAGTTCCCTACACTGGAAGCAAACCTCGAGGACCCTACTCACTCACAGGATGACTGCTGATGTGTAGAGGTGGGAATGAACTGGGGCAGGTAGAGCACCAGAGAAGGCCATGACACCCCACATTCACTCTAGCCTCTCTGCACACAAGGGCCCACCACATTAGGTCACTTCCTTCTCTCTGCCCCCACCCCCTCTATACACTCTTCCCGCTGCTATTGATACCGCTCAGCTGAACGCTGCTTTGTAAACGTCCCTCACACCCTTCCCCCAGCACGTTTTTTTTAAGAACTCCAAACTCCCTGACATCCAGGTTATTTATTGTCCTCCAACAAGACCAGCCAAGGGTCAACACAGAGTGCCTAGGCAGTGGCCGGGCTTAAGGACTGGTTCCTTTGGGCCCGTTTTGGTAGAGGCAACTGGCACACGGCAGTGTTTGGGGACCACATCTGGAAGAGGCACTTGAAGTGTACCTAACAAAGCCCCATTGTTTGAACTGGAGTAGAACCTGGGCATCACACAGGGGCCACCACTAGCTGCATCCAGGACCCCACAGGGAGATGCACCCCACTGGGAGATGATGCACCCCACTGGGACATACATAATAGAAACAAAGACTCCCAGGTCCCATGCCTACAGATTAGGACAGCGAGAAGGGGCTGGGACCACGATGTAAATGGCAAGCCCTTCTCCTCTTCCATCGCCGCCCAAAGAAGCTGGGAAGTCATGCAGGAGCTGCCCAGCAAGCTGTCTACAAAGACCAAGAGAAGGCCCTCTGAAGTAGAGTGCTAAGGCAAGCTCGGGAGTACCCCGTCAGTGCAATGCGAGGCAGGACTGGAACCCAAGCCAAAGCTTTGGATTCTCAAATGTGAGATTAAGGACCCTTTGGGATTGGTGGTTCTCACCCCTGGAGTCTTGCTCTCTTAGACACCAGAGTGGAAGGTTCTCTATCATCCCCGGACCTGCAGCGCCCCGAGTGATTTAAGAGATTGTCTGGACAGATCCTGGTTAACATCAGCAAGGCACCTCAATTCTTTTCTGAAGGCAGAATGTCCCAGTGGGTAACCAGAGGCTCACCCAAGGACACTGCTCTCTAACTCTCAAGGATGGGAACTTGAGATTAGTGCCTGGGATTCACTAACAGACCACCTTCCTGAGGGGTGGGGGTGGGGGACCCTGTTCTGGCTCCATGGGCTTCCTTCTGCTGGTCTAATAGTTTTGAAGATCTCCTCAGAATCCAAGACAAGTTTAATTTCCTAATAAAAAAGTCCCATCTCTTATTCTCTTCCCATTTTGAGACTCTGGTGTCCAGGCTGACTGGTGATGCTCCTGCCTCAGTCATCTCAAGGGCAGAGATTACATGCATGAGTTACCCCGATTTATTATGTTCTGTGTTTCATAGGGCCACACCTGTCACCTTTACCAGCTTTTGTTTCCGGTTTGGGTTTTCCCTCAGAGTTGAGGCTTTTCTAGATATTTCCTGAGGGCCTTGGGATCACAGAACCCAGGTCATCTTAAGTATCTGTTGCTGTCTGTCAGAATGAGCCTACTGCCCTGTGCCTATCTGTTAAAAGTGGACAGAAATAATAAGGCATTTGGGGGGGGGTCGAGACCCCAGATGCAATTATTCCTAGGTATGTAAATCACTCTTAGTGCACTGAATTAGGTTTCTTCTAACAGTGGACCCATATATCAACACTGTCAGCAAAGCCTTTCCAGTTGTGTTGCTAGTTTCTTTTATTTCAAAAGTACTACTGGATCCCAACATGTAATAAGTTACTAAAAAAGGAACTGTTGTATTGGGGAGATTATGAGCCCTGGTTAAACCACCACCCAGTGCTCACACATGTGAGATCCTTAGTGCTCTACATGCTCCCTGCCCCCGGAAGCACTATCTCCCACCAAGGAAGTTCTGCAAGCTCACCATTCCGACCCTTTCGCCCTGCCCCCAAACAAGGAAGTGGCTACCTTCAGAAAAACACAGGCACACACCATTGCCCTATCCAACAAGGTAATATGTAGAAATCAAGTGTTTCCACTCCGACCCAGCAAAATGTGATTCCAAACCAGACTTGAATAAAGCCTAAGATTTACATGAAATTCACATGTTTTAGCCAATACAGAAAGAAGAAAATCTTTTACTCTGAAAGCCAATGCTCTAGACTATATTTCCAAAGTCCTGACTGAATCTGAGCGGAGCCTGGAATGATCAAAGGTCAGATCTTTTATTTCATGTAAACTGTAGTTACAGAGAGGGATTCACCCAGCTTGCTGTGTGAGACCAAAGTGACTAGGGCCAAGCTAGACTTCTGCCCTTATATGGTCAAGAAAGGGGGAAAAAAACACAAGGACCACATTAGGGGCACTCCCATGGATAGCAGATAAACACAACCTCTTCTATCTGGGCCAAAGCCTGTAATTTGTGAGGCATGTTTGTATAGCAAGAGAGGAGAGAGTGAGGTACTGAGGTGCCTTGCTGTGACTGCACGGGGTGGGGTGGGGTGGGGTGGGGGAGCCCCGAGTATTGTCAGTCACAGCCACTCTGGAAGTGCCAGGGCAAGCCTAGAGCACACTCAGTTTCCTGGTTCCAGAAGGAGCTGCCCATGCTGAAGAGCCAGGAAAGGGCTGGGGACTTCTGGA